GTTTTCGATGTAATGGAGGTAACTCGAAGGTGAGCATGATTGCGTGCAAGAAGAAACAGCAGATACAACAGGAGGACGTATGTGCGTGAATCGAACGCTGGTCGTCCATTCCGTGGCATTACCGACTGAGCTATCCGGGCTCCTCTCCAAGTCGAGCAAACTTTTACTGACGAAGGAGGCAATTCAGATGCGAGATTTCGGGTATTCACTTCGTTGACTATTAAGATTGTTTTTTGCATCATCAAGCCGTGCGGTAAAAATTCGCCACCGTTTCAAAGAAACGTAAAGCCCCCATCTTCAGGGTCGAAGAGATACTAAGGAATCGCTGAGAAAGAAACAATCTTACTTAGCATAGCTTCGATCCTGACGATGGGAGGCAGTCCGTTACTCCGAAACGTCAATGAGCTTCTACCGGTCTGCAGGGCAACACATCGCAGAAGACAGTATTATCCATATCCATCGTTCTTGAAAGCGGTAAAAGTTCACTGGCGTTTCGGAGAAAGCAGAGGCAGGACATACTGAATGGGTATCGGTGGGCAAAACGGCCTCGGCATGAAACTCACCGCTCACCTCCATCCAGTGTCAAAACCAAGAATGCGTGGATCTATACCTTCAGTGCCTTCTACGTCTTCATGTCTTAAGAACAGGGCCAAATTTACCTCCTACAGTTGCTGGGTTACCTTCTCATGGCCATTCACCTACCTGACTTTATTATTTGCCTTTGTGTTTGACGGTATTCGTTGAAGGACAATAGTGAAGGAGATTTCTAGCACAGAGGCTCAAGACTGCTGTCATGGTAGCAACGTTTCTGAGGAGCCTCTATCTTGGTCACCGCCTTCCGAACCTCAAAATTTACATGGTAGAGAAATTTGATGGATTTTATTTGATATTCCAAGGGTTTCCTAACTTTCCTCGTTCCGTTTATCGCCTCAGAAGACGAGTTTCTTGAACTGATGACTCTATAGTAGCTAGTCACTTCTACTGGCTGTAAAAGTACAACAGAAAACGCAAATGTTTTGATGTGTCCGGGTTGTTCTACCGCAGCGCTCAGAGTGCGAATGTGGCTGTACTCTGCACCCACCCCATCTTATCTTTCTGGATACGTCTATTACTCATGAACTCTCTGGAATTAATAAGAACGTGTCATGAATGTCAGATACATAAGGTAGAAGGCTGTGCAGAGAGATTAAAGAAGGAACTGGAAGTAATAGGTTGAGCATATATCTAGCAAAACCAGACAGAGATACAGACACAAACAAAACAAACTCCGTGGCCTTAGTCCGCAAGAGAACTATACCGACCGAGCGACCGCCGCTTGTCGGCGAAGTTAGTGCCAACTTCTGTTTTGTCTAGTGGGTTTCTGCTATTTTGCCACCTGCGTCTTGCTTGGCGTTTTTTGTAGACTAATTCCCTGATGTGTACTGGAACGCTATGAGCTTCCTGAGTTATCTTTTTTCTTCCTGGTGTGGATATCCATGCAGCTGTTTGTATTAGTTTGGTTATGTAGTCCACTGCGTCTTCAAGATCTTGGTTTTCTTTTAGTGGGAGATTTAGGGCAATGTTGTCGTTGATGTAATTTTGGAATTGCGTCCAATTGGTATTTCTATTACAAAGCTGGTGGCGGTTCCTTCCAGATTACGTGATTACTTAGTGTTATTATGATCGGACTGTGGTCTGATGACACGTCTAGCTTAGTTTCTATGGAGCTGTAAATGCCTTTTGTGATTGCAAAGTCTAACAGGTCCGGTGTTTCATTTAAATCAGTAGGCCAGTATGTCGGCTCTCCTGTTGATATGCAGTTCAGGTTGCTTTGCTATATAGCGTTCTGCAGATTTCTACCCTAAGGTGTGATCAGTCTGGAGCCCCTTGCAGTGTGTTTGGCGTTCCAGTCGCCGGCCACTAGGTAGTGTGGACCAAGTTGGAGCAGAAAATCTTCGTATTCTTGATGGGAGATCGCATGTCTTTGGGGGCTGTACTCGTATATTGCAGCGATGACCATAGGTCGGGCCATGGATTCTAGCTTTATTATTGTGCTTTGTATTTTATTCGTGATATATGGTTCTATTGCGTAGTGTTTCCACTTTGTTTTGATAATAAGACCTGAGCCTGCGTGGGCTGTCCCATCAGGGTGGTTGGCTTAGTAGGTTGTATAATAAGGTATTCTGATGACGCTTTGTTCAGCAGTATGGCTTTCTGATATTAGTAGGATGTCTATTTTATTTATTTTTTTTAAATACAGTAATTTCTTCAATATGGTTGTTTATGCCATTGGGATTCCATGCTGCTATTCTTACCGTTTTCGCTGTTTGCGCTATTTGTTTATAATAGTGTTTTTTTTTCTTTTTCCTTCGCACTACAGCCCCAGTGGGCCTAGGCCTACCTCCATGAACTCCGTTCACTTCGGTTTTTCTAGATCTTACACATACGGTAGGACTCCTTGGGCGAGTGATCAGCTCGTCGCAAGGCCTCTACTTGTAGACAAACACAGAAAAACGCACACAAACATCCATGCCCTGAGTGGGATTCGAACCCACGATCCCGGCTTCCGAGTGAGCGAAGACAGTGCATGTCTTAGACCGCTCGGCTACCGTGACCAGCATAATAGTGGTTAGCATGGTTAATATCATACTGTTTTGGTTGAGAAGCTGGTTGAACATGTTTTTGAATTCGTTGAGAAACACTGTAAACTGACTTACGATATCTGCGGGACTGTTGTTGGTTTGGTGGGTCGCTGGTCTTTCAGATGCTACTTGTGAATAACTTATATATTTCGACGTACGTAGTTTGTGGCGTGTTAAGGTGTATTATTGATTCTTTTGGGATTATACGGTGCAGCCAGCCGGTCACGGTAGCCGAGCGGTCTAAGGCATGTACTGTCTTCGCTCGTTTGGAAACCGGGATCGTGGGTTCGATCCCACTCAGTGCATGGATGTTTAATTTGTGTGTGTGTGCGTTTTTCTGTATTGGTGTACAGGTAGAGGCCTTGCGACGAGCTGATCACCCGCCCAAGGAGTCCTACCGAACGTGTAAGATCTAGAAAAACCGAAGTGAACGGAGAAGTTCGTGGAGGTAGGCCTAGGCCCACTGGGGCAATAGTGAGTGATAAGGGGGAAAAAAATACGGTGCAGCCTTCGAAATTAGCAGGATGATTTCCGTTGCAAAGGACACATTTAGCCGGGGTGTCTCGGTTTTCTACAGGATTGGGTGTCATGCGGTCCATTGCATTCGACACAATTGGTTTGGTACAATATTTTTTTGATTGACCATAGTCTTGGCATCTTGTGCATTGTCCAATAGTGTTTTTGCATCTGGGCGGTTCAACACGAAGTTTGCAGTTTAGCAAAAATTCTAAGTTGTAAATTTCTTTGTTGTTGCTTTATGGTTAGAAGTTAACAAAGAAGAGAGGCAATGGTTCTTTGCTGACTCTGTTTTACATTTATCATGTGTTTTACTTCATGCCCTTTCTTGTTTAATTCTTCTGTTATGTCGGATATTGGTATAGAGTGATGCAGGTCGCGAATTACTTCTGGGCGGTTCAACACGAAGTTTGCTTGGTACGTGTGATGTATGATTTTTTCCTCCCTAACGTGCTGTATATTTAGCATTGCTTTAAAGTTATTCACCCCGTAAATGTAGACAGGTGGTGGTTTCGGTTATCAGGATTCTTTGAGATTGGTGGTTGCCTATTTTGGTTGTTATCGCGGGGTAGTTCACTAAGAGAGTCAAATCTGTTAGTAGTCTGGATTTGCTCTGCTATTTCGGCAGGTGTTTTTGGTAGTTTATTCTTTTCCGTTTGTTACTCACTGTTTGCCAGTGATGTTTGTTGAAGCCGTCTTCTTCACGCATGTTTAGGTCGTCTTCGCTGTACGAAGTAGTATCATTTCTTCGGTTGTACCTGACGGTGAATTTGTCGATTGGGTTGCGGTAGTTGTGCTTGATTTGTTGTTATCTGGTTCGTCCTTATCGGCGGAAATTGTAAGTTGTATGACCATTGGTTTGGTTGATTGTAATAGGCCTGCGATGTTTGTGGTTGGTTTGGCGTGGTTTGTAGAGGAGGTTGATTGTGCATGGGTGGTGCTGTCCCAGCTTCGTTCCCAATTGGGAAAGTCACTCGCTCTGCGGAATCCTTTTTGCGCTGAGTTAGTTGTACGCACGTCGGATTGGGTTGGCGGGTTGTACAGCTACTTAATTCGACTTGTACGTTTGGGTTTGTCTTCCCTTTCATCTATAAGCACTGCTTTACGGAGCGGCACCTGACACATTTCCGCACTGTTCGCTCCTAGGAAGCGTACTCAGGATGGAAATAGGTCGTTTCCGAGACGACGTGTTCTTTAGAACAGCGGACGATGTACTAAGTCCAAAATCCCAGCAATCCCGAGTTTCGGCGGAGCCACTTCTATCTTTACGGTGATGCACCTTGGCATATGTTACACAAGTTGGTGCTTCCAACTGAGGTTCTAGAACGTTAGTACACGGTGACATCTGGGGCTTGTACAATAGGCCAGAAGTGGCCGCAGTACAAGGGACTTAGTCCCACCCCACTAGCATAAAAAAAATTACTGCCAACTTTAGCAGATAGAAGGTGTCACGTGGTCAGCTCAAAGGATCCCCACGGCCGTTAATCTCTGTTTTCTAGACCGGAGCCGCTATTTCCTTGAAATAGCTCCTCAATTATCCTAACGTGACTGAATGGACCCCGTTCCAGACCCACTACTTCTCAGAAAATCTGGTAGCGCCGGGAATCGAACCCGGGACCTCTAGATCTGTAGCCAGGAGCTCTGACCATTAGCTGCCGAAAAAACCTCAGGCGTCTGTGAAAATACTGAATCACGCGAGAGCGGCGGAATGCTAGCGATACCCCTACTCCGGTCTTGTCATGACGCGTTCCCATTGGCCAGACTTGGCTCTGGGAATTTAGGGGCACCCGACGGGGGAATCTCTTTTCATGCTCAGGGTCGTGTAGGATGAACGAAGACATTCTGGCCTGGTAGTTGGCCAGATGGAGACTGCATGCGGTATATAGCTCGAATTTTTTCCTCGCCCCACATACGTACGAACAGCTGACATCTCCACAGCACAACGCAAAATATTAATATTAGAAACTAATGTATTCTACGGTTTAAATAGTGGCTTAATTTTTGTAACCAAAGCCACAAAATAAATTATATATTAGTATAATTGAGGGGACGTTTGCAGTTATAGAGGTATAATGGACCTTCTGTGCTGTGAGACCGAGTGTGAGTGTCGTGCTTATCCCGATCCTGTGTTGTTGAACGATGAACGGGTATTACAAAACTTGTTGAACACAGAAGACAGATACTGCCCCTCCAGTTCGTATTTCGAGTGTGTTCAGAAAGATTTAACTCCACAAATGCGGACGATACTTGCAGAATGGATGATGGAGGTAAGTTTTCAAAAAATTTTATTTCCGAAAAATATTTTGTCTTCATAATTTTTCTGTGCGTTCGTCTCGTGAAACAGCTCGGACGAATTTCGATAAAATTGTACAAGAAGGCGAGCTACTGCTGTTTTCCTGGGGTTTTCGATCCTGAAGATGGACGCACTACGTTTATCAGAAACGTCAGTGTGAACTATGGGACAGCATGTCACTTCCTCACATCCCACAAGGTTGTATTCTTCACGTAATTAATTGCACGTCACAAGGTCATTAGCAAGGTTCTCATGTTGAAGCAAATTCTGGGCGAGACTTTTATGAATGAATAGGTGTATGTCCGTGGCTGTAACGGGGTTTAATATAAAAGTTTGCGTTTACATGTTTCGGCCACTACTGGCCATCATCAGAAGGTACAGCCAACGCTAGACAGAAATAATTTACATGCAAAAGGTAAAGTTGGCCCTGTGCTTAAGTAATTAAAACACTACGCCATGAAGGCGTATGGGGAGTGGATGTGTACATCCACATTTTCTTGACCTCGGCACTAGTTGGAGGTGAGTGGTCAGCTTAGCGCCCCTAATGCTTTATCCCCGGGGAAAGAGCCCCCGGTGTCCATTGGATAGGAGGTTAGGTGGACCCCAGAGCCGGTGTGGACGACATGGAGAAGAGAAAATTCTCGATCCTAACCGGGACTCGAACTTCGAGACCTCGGTCTCCCAGCCCCTAGCTACATTGTATAAATGGATTTATACTATTATAAGTCGAGTTGTAAATTTAAATACTAATTTAATTACAATTTGTGTTGCTTGAAATTAAATTAAAAACCTTGGCTGTATATGAACATGGTGACGGCCGTATTTTTCTGTAGCTGGCAGTGACACGGGTGTTCGGGTGAGCATTGATAAAATAGCTCAGTTCTGCCCATGGCGACCGCTGTGAGAACCTCAGAACTGTACGACAGTGAATCATTGTTCCATGACGTTATGATCTGTCCAATCAGTACAATTCAGTAGTTAAGCTTATTTGTTTTGCAGTAAGTGGCACAGTTTGCTGGACAACAAAAGTAATTAGCGAGCGTGTATGCTTGTTTGAACGAAGTCGCCATGTTCAAGTAATTATAATGCATCTCAGACGTTGAATGTATGGTCCCAGCGTGGACCTTGTATTACTTAATCCCTTTTTGACATCTCACAATGTCAAGGCCCCGTCTGTAATTACGAACTGCCATTCGGGACCTCCACAGACACCGCACTATGACGGTCTCCGTGGGGAAGTGAAAATCTACTTCAATATGTCGTTGGATGTAACGCCGTGTTGTCTGGTAGGCCACGGACGTTTGAGAAGAACATCCAGCCTCCATCTTCAGGGTCGAAGCCCATCAGGAAAGGTGAAAACTGCAAATTGCACAATGAGGAACTAAATGTACTTTTCGCCAAGTCAGGGAGGATGAGATTGACAGGGAATGTAGCACACATGAGGCTAAGCTGAATGCATGTGGGAAAGCCAGGAGAGTCGACTAGGAAGCCCTAGACGTACGTTGGAGGATAATATTAAAGTCAATTTTAGTGAAATAGAATGTGCTAGTATTGACCTTCGGCTTTCTTAAAACGTTGGGAAATTCTTAAGTAACCGAGCTACTGGTGGCTACTCAAGGATTTGACTCCATTAAGCAGGAAGCCACCAAGAAGCAGTTTACTCTTTGAGCCTAAGTTAGTGAGTTCCTCCGAAACGTCGGTGGACTTACACAAGACTACACGGCGGTACATGCTGGAAGATAGTACATTTTTATCGCTGTGAGAACCTCAAGGTCAACTTGGTTTGTACCGTTTAAAAATATTTGTTTTTACGAAGCGCGCCAGAGTTATTATTGTTGAAACACTAAGAATAATTTTAATTTCCGATATTAATATTCCCCCCCCAAAAAATCTAGGGGCGACGGGACAAATCCCCCCCCCGGCTGGCGCCCATGGGCTCGTAACGCACACTTAATTCTGGCTTGCACCGGTCCGTTAGAACACGCACCGTTCACATTCTGCTTTTCGTAACCACTTGAGGTCTGCATTCTTTCCACAATGTATTTATGGCTTCCATATGATTGTCACAATAGACAGCGATTATTTCCATAAACAGCAATACTAGGTTAGTCTTTGTAATGGAGACACGGTATGTTTTCTGTGAGGTAGGAACTGAATTTTTAAACTTTTTTCTTTTGGATTATATTACGACACGACGCTGTCGGTATCTGGTCTGTATAATATTGAATGACGGATGAATAATTAATTGGAAAGGATTTGAAGCAAGTGGCCATGGCCTAATATGAATTACCCGACAATATGCCTGTAGGTAAAGGAAAAAAAAAGCTTAACCCTGTTACAGGCCGTGGAGGCCCATAGGACTGAGAGACGTCGAGGCTCCCACATTTTCTAGACGCTCACAGATGGCGGTGAGGTCATCATAATGCGTCGGTAGCCCTTTATCTTCAGGAAGATTCCTGATACTCATTTCAGTTAGAGGCTGAGTCAACTTCAGGGCCATGGTGCAGCTGGAAGGATTAGGTGAATTGAAAAAATCCAATGAGCACATCGGGAATCGCACCTGCGACTTTCCGGCTTGTAGCATAGTGCCTCAACCTACTACGCTAGAGCGTGCAGGTACCGAGGAAAACCATAGAAACTCGTCAGGATAGTCGATATCCCGACCGAGAGTCGAACCGATTATCTCCTCAATAGCAAGTCTTAAAAAAGAGTGTTTATCTGTAGCCCATGCTGTTTGGTTGAAATGTACGTCATCCAGTACAAAGTCGCTGTTGTGATCCTGCATAATGTCACCATTGTGATGTGTTGTGTTCAGGTGTGCGAAGAGCAGAAGTGTCAAGAGGAGGTGTTCCCTCTCGCAATGAACTACGTAGACAGGTTCCTCAGTGTGTGTCCGATCAGGAAAAGTCAACTGCAGCTGCTCGGAACGGCGTGCCTTCTGCTCAGTTCCAAACTCAGACAACCCCATCCTTTGGCGACCGAGGATCTAGTCATCTATACCGACAATAGCATCTCCGTGGATGAACTGTGGGTAAGTTACGTACCCTCTCACAGACACTTTGAAAGCCGTAATATTGTGCCAAATTCTGGGAGCCTTTAGGTAGGCCGCACACCCGCATGCGTCAAGACGTGTAAGAGTCAAGACACGATTCTGCGACATGATTCAAAGAAGGAAGCACAGTTGAAACGAATGAGATTATGAAAACAGCCGCACACCGGTCTGAGTCATGATGTTGACGTCAGCTTCATGCTGACGAATCACGAATGAAGCAAGACTGCGTCTTTTGTCTCATGTCTTGATGCTTGTCTGACGCAGTTGGTGTGTGGCCGCCCTTAAGGAACCGTAGTTACTATACTGTGCGTGTTTCTGGACCTTGTGCTCGGCACAGTTCAGGGTGTGTGGTTACAATGCGTCACCCACCCTCCCCCTCCATGCAACCGCAACCACTGCTATACATCTCATCTGTACGGATGGAGTACTACTTTTCTACGTTTGTTCCTTTTCAGAATAAAATGGTCGGTGTTGAGATTAACGATAATTACGAGTTAACATGTGACCAAAATGGCTATGAAACTTTATACTGCCATATTGTCCGCCATGTCAGCGCTGCCAACCACAGAAGTTTCAGAAGCCATAGCCTAATGCTGAAGGGCTTGCAGGCATTTAGTTATATGAGAAGTACCAAAAGCCGAACTTTTTCAAAACGGAGACCAAAGTCTGATCTTTTAAAAGAAACATAAGCTTTGGATCTTGTTTGTAGAAATGAACTTACAAAGTTGGCAACGCTAATGTGGCGGAGGGCATGGCGGTAAGATTTCCAAATCACTTGGCTCACTCATTAATACGGAAGTACCGAACTAATGTTAATTATTGCAAATTGGCTGTGATTACATTTATTTCCATTGTATATCGATCTGACAATACTGGGGGATTTCAGATGAATTATATTTCGTATGTCCTCATGGAAAATGTTTTAATTCCAAATGTTAACGTGTTTGATATGGATTCATTACAGCAAGTAGGCGTTAAATATAACCGAAGACGGTTACACAAGTTTTGAATATGCGACCTGGGAGGAACGCTTAAAAACAGATTGCAGTTGCGTGAATAAAGATATTTAAAGCAGATTAAATTCTGGCCTGCATCCACTCACTCAGATCCGAACTTTCTGTTGTATCGTCTGCTGTGAAGAAACGTCACACGAGAAACTTTTAATTGCGTAACGACTGATGAAACGCCCCGCAGGTCGCATGATGTCGAAACATGTCGGATTTTCAGTTATGTTAAATAAAGTAACACCTCATGATGTGATTTGGCGCAGCCTAGATACTCTTTTTTTTTTTTATTTTCAAAACCAGTTTTGTTTGAGCGTGAAACTTGGTCTGTTTCATTACGGGAAGAACACTGTTTGAGAGTGTTTGAGAAAGGGTGCTGAGGAGAAATTTGAATCTCAGAGGGATGAAATAACAGGATACTGGAGAAAACTGCAATGAAGAGCTTAATAATTGCATTCCCCGCCAAATACAATAATCAGATGGAGGTTGATATGAGTAAGGAATGCAGCACGCATGTGAGGTAAGAGAAATGCATTCAAAGTTCTAATAGGGAAATGTTAAGGAAAGAAACGTGCCACTAGGGAAACCTAGACGTAGATGGATATTCAGTAAATAGCATAGGGAGGGTTCGACTTGATTCATCTGGCACAGGATAAGGACAAGCTGTTATGAACAAGGTAATGAACCTTCATGTTCATGCTGGGAATTTGAGTGGGTGAGCAAACTGTTGGCTCCTCCGAAGGGACTGGTCAAGGGAGTTACTGTTGAGAGCGTCTTTAGGTTACAGATATTTTCTAGACGCGGAGGGTAGCTGCAAATTAGACACAAATTGTCCACCAGCTTGGGGGTTGGGTGCGGGCCCAACACTTCCTCACCGTAAAGAATCATTAGGAAATGCTAACGATAACTGTGTACTGTAGAGCGAGACAGTTAGATATCGGGCTTCGGAAAACCCACGGCTCCTGCCGGTCCATGGATAGAGGTGGGAATGCAGTGGGGAAAGGATTGCCACAACAAGAATAATATTCCTGGAACGTTGGGAATAAACATTCTGTGGCAATCAGGTTTCCACAACTGGGGCGTACGGCTCTCAGGGACTAGTCCGCGCCAAACGTTTCGGAAAAATTTGCAATTAACATAAGGAGTTTTGACAACTCTTCTCAAGTTTTTAACCCCGAAGATGGCAAGTACATGATTTGCCGAAAGGTTCGAAAATCATCAAAATTCGACGTGGACTAGTCCCGAGAGCCGAAGACTCAAACATTTTCTGGCCTGTTACTTCTTTCGAAGGGGCAGATTTGTCTATTAGGTCGATAAAGTGACTGAGGGGACATAATGTTGAAATGTGAATGGGTGTGGATTGGAAAGGTGGCTAGGGAAGGCTATATTAAGCTGCTGTTGTAATATTCGGCCGGAGGAATGGAGGAAAGCTACAGCGAATGCCAGTTAAATTCCTGACATGGCGGTTAGCAAACACTGACCTGCTGGAATTCACCAAGGGGGTTGGCATAGCAGTAGAGTTCTGGACTCGTATTTGTGATGTGCTCGTTTCAAATCTTGGCCGGTACAGTAGTTATCCGGACAGATTTTTCATAGTTTTCCTCAGTGATTCCAGGCAAATGCCGTAGTACCTCAATTACAGGATGATCGCCTCTTTCCAAATCCTTTTCATTTCCTCCCATCCGGCTTACTGTCCGTTGGTATGTGCACTCAACACGGAAATTTCGCTGGAAGAAACTAATCAGCGTCTTCGGCATGGCATTGGAAGGTCTCGAGTTCAAACGTCTGCCCGGAGATAGGCTATCCAGATAGTTTTTCGTGGGTTTCTTCAGTCTCTAAAGGAAAACTGTGCCTATACCTTTTGTTGGGTCTGTTCAGCGATGTACGCTTGAGATGTGAGCACAAACATGTGTCTGTTATTGTGCAGTCCAATTTAAGTCAAAACCGTAATGTGGCGACAGAATTCGGTAAATTTATCTAATATCAAATTTAATGAAAATCCCTTCAGGCGTTCTCGAGTTGTTACATGCGGATAGAACGCGACACGACAAAGCCAGTAGGCGCAATCTTGCTACCTTGCTACCGCGCCGAGATGATGTCTTCCAGCATAACGAATTATTTGCTGATGTTGCCAGTAGTCATTTATTGATTTACGTTGTAAAGGCGCTCCAGAAGAGCATTGGGTAAATTAAAAACTTGTAAATAAAGAGCTGCGGGTCACGGTAGCCGACCGGTCTAAGGCATGTACTGTCTTCGCTCGCTTGGAAACCGGGATCCTGGGTTCGAATCCCACTCAGGGTATGGAAGTTTAGTTTGTGTGTGTGCGTTTTTCTGTGTTTGTGTACAGGTAGAGGCCTTGCGACGAGCTGATCACCTGTCCAAGCAGTCCTACCGAATGTGTAAGATCTAGAAAAACCGAAGTGAACGGAGAAGTTCATGGAGGTAGGCCTAGGCCCACTGGGGCTGTAGTGCCAAGGAAAAAAAAATAAAGAGTTAACTACCCACAATAAATTAAGGAGAGGGGTTGCATGAGCAGGCCAACCCATCTCAGAGAGTTGTATGTATCAATTAATGTAAAATGTTTTGCATAGTTTGTTATTTTATTTTAAGAATGATTCTATTTCAGATTTTGTATCGTTGCGCGCAGCGTCTGTTGCCGATCGCTTAACCGCGTTATATTGAGAACTAAAACGACGTAAATGAAGGTGTCGTTACTGATAGCGTAATGGCGTTAAAATGAAAATGAAAAGCCATAAATTAAGAAGTGGTATATATTTTTCAGTGGCGTTAAATCGAAATAGCTCAAATGAAGAAATGGCTGATGTCTACAGTTTAATATGTTGGATCTTTGGTTCTCGTGGCGGTAACTGAAGAGTAAGGTCTACTGGATTGTAATGCCGAGCAGTTCGGAGAAAGCCCGACGTTTCGACATATCGCTTCTGCCACTTTCGAAGAATAAGCCAAGCCAGAAAGGAGGAGGCGGCAGGCAGTCTCGGGCTGTTCCGAGCTGCACAGCGTTACAATTCAGAAGACTGTACCCTTCACCTTAAATCTTTATAAAGCTAATTGGTTACTATATGTACCACCTGCTGTAACATACTAAAACTCTGCATTCTGCCCACACAGTGCAGGTACGTGTTCCGTATGGTGCTCACAACAAACAGCTACTGTTTCCCTAAACAGCATTAACAGGTTGTGCTTGGTGGCGGTGACGTAATGTGTTTCCTGTGAGGTACGAACTGAATTTTTATATATTATTGGAAGAAATTAAGCCTTTAAGACAGAGGAGAGCACCCGTGTTTAGGCGGGGTCGAATACCTCCACCGTGACCCCGCGAGTCGTATNGGGGTCAAACACCTCCACCGTGACCCTGCGAGTCATAGGAGGCGACGAAAAGGGAAGTCTGAAATTTGAGACAGTAAAATATGGTCTCGAGTACCAAGGGACTCTAACCCGAGAAAGACTGCGCTGGCAAGGACCGTCAGCATATACAAAAGACAGACCCCTCCTCTCGTTAGAGAGGGCCCCAACACAAAAACAAGACCGTAACTATCAAACGGTAATAAATATCTGGTCATGAGCCTCAGGAGGGTGCTCGACACCAAGACTTACTGACTGGCCGTAAGTCGCAATGTGACTTTTGACTTTGACTTAAGCGTTTAAAGGGTTAATGCGGTTAAATTTTGAATATGGCAGTGTAAACTTCCGATCTGTTCTGTTGTATTGCGGATATTTGTGAAAATTGGGCAATTTGATGAAAAGTATGACCACTGAAATTCTTTGCATGTACATAAACAGATAACTTCTACTGGTTATGACTTCGTACCATTGGAACGTAAATAGTTTGTATTGCTGTCTGAACTATTAAGGAATGTTTAAGTTGGAATGTGTTTAATAATAGACATGCAGGGAAACTTTATCAGTTTAACTGTAGTTATCAGAGCAACTACCGGGGAAGGAAGTATACAGGATATA